ACGTTTCGTAATCCAGGTGATAATATTTATTTATATTTACGTAATATCTTTAAAACCATTACCTATAAAGTTTAGTAAATTTTTTTATATGATTTATACATGTCAAAACTTAAAATATTATTTCTATTTTTATATGTAGCTTTGGATGGTGATGAGGATTTAAATGGCGCTGAAGAAGATCCGAGTCCAGACTCTACTATCTAGACTTTGTCTTTTGCTTATGTTTTATTTTTCATAGTTATTTGAATTCATTTGACATTTGCATTCATTTGGTTAAACTTTTGCTTTTAATTAAATTGGATTTTGATAAGCGTATATCGATTTTATATTGCAAGTACTATTTAGCATAAAAATTCTAAAAAACCCGTAATAGCCCTAAAGCCCTGTACGGAATAGACCGGACTTTGAAAAATAGATCCGATTATTTTTTGGACCGGACCGGGCCAGGTTTATTTATATGCGGGCTTTGCGAGTTTTGGACCGGGCCAGACCAGACTAACATGCCTAGTTTTTGGGAAGGGTAAAGAAAGAGTTATTACCGACACAAAATCTTTAAAACGTCAGATGAAGTCAGACCCAAGTTGAACAGAGGATCTATAACTGATCTAACCAGTACTTAGCGTAATGACATGGCAATAATAATACCAAAAAATGGAAAAAAAATCTATTCACAAAATAAAAAATCTTTAGAATGACTTGATTATTAGCTCATGGGATTAGATAGATATCATCAATCAAATTTTCATACCTTGTCAAAACTTTTAATTATGATAGCTAGTCACTATATTAAGAGTACACAACTGATAAAATTTTAATTACACCTACATGACGTCATCTGATACTTGATTAACACTTACATGAGACATCAGCGAATAATGTTGATCTTAATACATCCATGACAAGTCTTGCCTGAAGGATACAGAAGTTGCAGCACCATGAACACCTCTTTTAGAAACCTGAGGACAATCTTCAACCACAAGCAAGTCAAGCTTGTGTGATCCAACAAGTGGTCTCAATCCATCATCTGTGATTCCCAAACACTTTGATAGTTTCAACACATTGAGACAAGGAAGCTGGCTCACTAGTATCAACCCCTCGTCGCTCACTTCTTGGCATTGTACAAGCTCCAAGCTCTCTAGCTTCTGAGCTGAACACAGAGCTTCCATGCCAATGTCGTTGAAAGAACAAACATGGTCTAAAGAAAGCTCGCGAATCGGACATTTCTGGACCAGTGTGATTATCCCCTGAACGGTGAAAGAAAACAGAGAAGGGAATTCTCCGTCCGAGTACGAGATCTTGAAAGATTCGAGTTTCGAGCAATGTTGAGCTATGGCAATGAGGCTTTCATCGGTTAATCTTAAGGTTATGTTGTTTAAGAGAGGCAGAGTGAAATCTGATGGGACTCGGAGCGAGATGCTTCTTAGATGTTTAGCTTTTTGGACCAATGCTACAATGTCCGAGTCGCTGACACCGATACACATGTCTAAATGAAGCTTCTCAAGATTCTTGCATTTACTCAACACACAAGCGAGACCTCTACCTGGAGTTATGATGCAGTTACCAAGACTGAGTTCTATCAGATTGTCACAAGGAACCAACTGCTTTTGCCACCGTTCCGCAGCTAACCGATCATATAGCTTCAAGTACCTGTAATTAGCGTCTACTTCAAACCGCAGAATTCGAAGCTTCCTCCAGCTATTTCCCAGCTTGATTAAATCGCCTTCACCAATTGCTCTGCAGTTCTTGATGCAGAGTTCTTCTAGTATCTCAAGCTTTCCGAAATACTCTAACCATTCGACACTTGCTACGTTTAGGCATCGAACGAGATGAAGCCTCCTGAGTTTCTTACATCCTACTGCGGTTGACAATACGCCACAACCGGTGATTCGAGGAGCGAAATTTAACTTCAACGAAGAAAACTCAGTACACGACGACAAATGACGAATGCCAACATCAGTAATGAAAGTGCAGTAGCTAAGAGTGAGATCAGTGAGGGAATGGCAATTGGTGGAGAGGACAAGAAGACCGAGATCGTCGAGTTGTTTCCCAAGTTTCGACATCCAACCGGAATATACGATCTCTACTTTGGTTAGATTTGGAAACCTATTGCAGAGAGAGAGCAATGACTCGGCTGCAGGAACTAGACCGCAACCGATCCGCAGAGAATGTCGTTGTTCGTTGTCTAGCGAATAGAGACGCTTGCAAGAGAGTGAAACAGAGTTTCTGTCAATGGTTTTCTGAAGCTTCTTGAGTATGTCGCAAACTAAATGGTCTGGTAATTCATCCATTATCGTCTCCTATGAGCTATCTGTGAACAAAAAAAGATCAAAGACACAAAACTTGTGAAGTGAAATCAGCAAATTCTTCTTCTTATCAGAAGAGATTATGCACGTAATTTAACCTGAACACGACAAAGATTCAATGGAACACACAGATGATTATGCTACGAATCCCAATGAACACTCAAAAAGTTACTGTTTCAACAGAGAAATGGAAATTTATTCCAGAAACAAAATAGTAAGTGTGTCAAACGCGATCGATAGGATTGAATTAAATTAGAGGAAAACTACGCATCAAGCAGATAATTACAGAGACACAAATACCAAGCAGATCACGAAATTCTAATTTCCCAAGCAGAGATTCGAGGCATCGATCAAAATTTATAGATAACTAGAGAAGAACATGATGAATCAGTCTTGCTGTAAAAACAAAATCAGAGAAAAACATCTCACCAGAAATGTATCAAAGAGTCGGCGACGTAGAAGAAGCGAAAGCTTTTGATGAGAAGAATTTCAAAAAGAGACGAAACCTGAAAGGGACGGTTTTACTTACCTTTTTAAGGACCAAACCGCCCTACGACTATCCGATAAGAACACAACTATATAAATCTTTTTCCTATAATAATACCATTTTTTCAAGTCTGCAAAATAA